ACGAAACTTTGTTAATAGTTAGGTCCTCTTTGTGTTTTCTTGCCCAAAGTGGACATAAAAAGATGTTCAAGAGACTTGCGGATTCTGTCGCTGGAGTGGCTAGATTCGTAGACACCTTGATGATCCTGGGGATTGAAGTGCAATGTACTGGTTTCACGCCACCGTTCTACACATCCAAACCTGTCCTAACCTGCCAGCCAGTCGTAGACCCGTTTCACCGATGTATTTCATGTCACATCTCTTGCAGTTGATGGCGTAAATGACATTGCAGGCCATGCAGAAGATTGATTGATTTGATTGATTTGATTCAAAAACCGACATCACTGTACTCGGGGCATTCCCATAAGCGCTCCGTCTCCATCTTCAGCAGCCAGCGAAGAGTTTATATACTAATGGTGCCAGTAGCATTCTGATTAAACATCCGTCTTGCCTTTCACTGAGCCTTGAGCATCTGCTAGAACCTCTCGTCACTCCCCCCCCCCCCCCTTTTGCATCAGTCTCACCAGACTGTGGTGATCAATGTGCTCCTCCGAACTGTACAGGCTCTCCCACAAGGCCCTAACCGCGTCTGCCCTATCATGTATCAGTATTCCACCAAGTTGTGCAGAGCCAGCCAGTCTGTCCGCCTGTTCATTTCCCAACACACCGGTGTGCCCTGGTGAAAAAATCCAGATAATACTCCTCAACCGTGTCCTGCGGAGCGAAGCATGCCACTCTGCACGAAGCATACCTGTTCTGATCTTCCTCAGCATGCTTTCTGAGTCAGTTACAATCACGATGTGTGTGTGTGTCGTGTTCTCTAGCCAGCGGAGAGCTGCAGTGACCGACTCCACCTCTATTTTTAAGCTGGATGTTGTGGTATCATATGCTAGGCTCTCATGCACCTAAAGTCGACCATTAACTTTTGCTAAGAAGCCCCGGGCACTTCTTTTGCCTCTTGAGACTGAACCGACTGTGTAAATAATCAAAACCTCTGAGCGAGCAGTATCTTGAATTAATTACTGAATTTCCACCTCTGTGGCACCTGCTGGCCAATCTCTGCATTCCCGGCTCAGCGTGATTATGACTCTACACAAGTCTGACTGCTCAGGTGGCACTTTGACTTACTCCTCTCCTCGCCTTATGTTCTCAAGGATGCAAACCTGTCAGATTGTGTCTCCTGCCTGAGCCATCCATGACCTTCCTCCTATCAGCCGCTGGCCCTTAACTGCACCCAGAGCTCCATGCAAAAAGGTGGTCTGTGTTTGCAGCTACCCTGAGATATGACTTCGCCTGCAGCACCATTGCCTACCTGCAGCCGTCGGCAAACTAAGGATGTATCCCATGCACACCACTGTGCAGAAGAATGCTTCACGTAGTTGGCATTCGGGAATTCCAGACTTGTCCCCTGAACCACACATGGGCAAGCCCTGCATGCAGGTCTGTGGCAAGAGACCTTGCAGAAGTAGGACTCGACCTAGGCCGTAACCGACTCTTGACTAAAACGTCCTTGAGGTTTAAGGTCATGTCTGTAGGCAATTGTAGGAAGTTCAGAGAAAATCGTGCTAGGGGCAGGGTCAGCCGTAAGGATGGAGAGATGCTTAAGGAGAATATGTTTCTCAAAGATGTTGTGAGGGTGGTAGGTAAGTATGAGGATAGGTCTTTTGTGGCGATTTGTGGGCTTGGAAAAGAGAGCTTAGGCAACATGGATAGGCCGTGCTCGGTGAAAGGCTAGGAGCCACCATTGTGTAGAGGCTAGACGCTCGCCTCTGGATCAGAAGGTCGTGGGTTCTGGTTCTGACTGAGTCGGACTTTTTCATAACTGACCGTGGCTTCCAGGTCGACCGACAGAGGTATCGAGAAGCTGACCGTCCAGAAGCAATGGCAAACTACTGTAAGTAAATTTGCCTAGAAAAATCACAACAGCCAATGCTGGGTTGGTTCTGCAACGTCCTTTAAAGGATACAAAACTAACTTTACTGTGTGTGAATGTGTTTGTATGCGTGTTAGTTAGTATGGTAAATGACGATAATTATTTGTTAACAAGTGTGTATGTGAATGTGTTTATATGCGTGTTAGTTAGTATGGTAAATGAAGATAATTATTTGTTAATAAGTATGTGTGTGAATGAGTATGTGTATGAATGTGTCTATGTCCATCGCGGTTATGCATGACGAGTGAATAACTATAATTAATCAGCAGATTCTCCATAGAATGCCATTCTCTTAATGGCACATCTAGAAATCTCTCTTTCTGTGACAAGTAGTTCAGCCTTATGCGCTTCCAGAGCCAATACATCGTCGATGTCTTCTTCTTTTTGTTCCCAGTTATTCTAAGAGCACTCCTGTAACATTTCAATTTAAAAGCTTGACAAGCGAATCATCAGTTCTCGTTATGCCCAGTGGCACATGAGGCTTCAGAGAGGACTTTCCATGCTTTCCTGTCCTGTGCAGTTTTAAGCATGGTGAATGGAGTCCATCGTATGCCTCTCATTATTCTGTCTACTGTATTCTTTAGTATCCAATCAATCACAAGATTAAAGAGGAGAGATGACATAACACATCCCCGTCTTACACCTGTCTTTACTAGGAAAGATGTAGTGTAATTTTTTTAAACTGCAGGAAAAGTCTTTATAGAAGAGAGCAATTATGTTGACTATTTTTTAAAAAATTCCATAATGTAAAATTTTTCATAGACTGTCTCTATGGACGCTGTCCAAAAAAATTTTTCAAAGACCACAAAATTATTATATATACTTTTCTGCCATTAATTGCATTGTTCTAAAATGATGCGTATGGCGAAGATGTGCTCAGTTGTTTCTCTGCCCTTTCTGAATCCTGCTTGTTCTACTCGTAGGAATTTATCGACTCCTTTTTAAAGCCGCATTATGATGATTTTGCAAAAAAATTTTGATTGGTAATGAGATAGAGTAATTCCCTTCCAATTATTGCAGTCTGTTAAGTCTCCTTTTTTTTGGGGATTTGGACTATTGTTCCTTTAGTCCAGTCATAAGGCAACATTTCTTTTTCCCAAATATACTTGAACAATGGTTCTAGAATGCTAGTTGTTGTGTTATGATCTACTTTGAGAAGTTCTGCTGCCAGTTTGTCTTTGCCTGGTGCTTTGTTGTTCTTTAAATTGTGGATAGTTTTAAGGATTTTTGTTTGCTTGGTGGTTTAGTAATAATGTCAATGTCCTGAGAGGCTGGTTGAATATCTGGGGGATTTTCAGGATCACGTCTGTTCAAGAGGTCGGAGAAGTGTTTAGTCCACTGCATGTCTTGTTTTTGTTCTGTGGTGAGCAGTCTGCCTTGGTTATCTCTGATGGGTTTGCTGTGATAATTGTTTCTGCTTCCGCAAATTTGCTGGGTAATTTTGTGTAGGGTTTACAGATCATGTGCTTTAGCAGCATTTTGTGCATTTTTCTGCTAGATTTTCCATAAATCTTCTTTTGTCAGCTCTGGCACTTTTCTGTGTCATTTAATTTAGTTCGCTATATTCTAACTTTAGTTTGTCTTTCTGGCGTTTTGATTTAGTGTGATTTATGAGGCTGTTTGTTCTTTTTCGCTTGGCAATATAGTCCATAGTTTGACTGCTTATCCATTCTTTGTGGTGTTGTTTCCTGGTTCCTAATATGTTTTTGCTAGTTGATTTGTATGTTTCTTTGATCTGGTTCCATCTGTCTTGAATGCTGATTGCAGTTTGAGTGTCTGGGTCACTTGATAGGGTTTCAAATCTATTCTTGAGTTCTACTATAAATTTAGAGGGAATGTCTTTTTCTCTTAAAAGGTTAACATTGTAACGTGCTGTCTGTGTCTTAACTTGCGTGTAAACTTTTTTGAGTTTAAGTCGTAGTAGAGCAACTACAAGGTGATGATCGCTTCCTACGTCTGCTCCCCTTTTGACACGCACATCGAGTATGGACCAACGCCTTTTTCTGTTTACCATGAAATGGTCGATCTGGTTTACATCTCTTCCATTTGGGGATATCCATTTTTGTGAGGAAATAGTGTTCCTCCTATAACAAGTCTATTCGCCGTGCAGAAGTCGCTCAGTCTTTCCCTGTTGTCATTAATTATACCACATCCTTGATTTCCCATTGACAGTTCTCTATTCAAGTTGTTGTTACCAACTTTTGCATTGAGATCACCCATAATGCATAGAATATCATGGACTGGTACTTTCTCTACTATCTCTTACAGTCTCCTAAAGAATGTTTCTTTATCTTCGTCCTCAGCTTCATTAGTCGGTGAGTATCATTGGAAAATTGTAAGTTTGGCATGTTTTCCATTGATTGACAAGCGAATAGTGAATACAGTTCTTCATGTAAATGAAGGGAAGTCGGCATGGAGTAGCCGGTGGACGCTCGCCAGCGGATCGGAAAGTCATTGATTCGGTCTCCGGAGAAGTCGGACTTTTAAAAAGAAAATGACATTTGCTCCAAGGTCGACCCAGCCTTAAGTGGGTACCAGGGGTAGTCCTGGGAAGTAAAAACGGCCGGCCTGGTGGTGATCACATCATACTCATGTGACGTTGGTCTATAACATCTAGATCTAGCCCTTTATATCTAATATGCCTGAAAAAGGGACCTTTTTATGTAAATGTAAAAAAAATCAAGTAGAGTTAACACCCACACGTTGAAAGAATGACACCGCAGGCAAGCGCCCCGAAAATGGGGACACTGCCTAAAGGCACATGGCTCGAGTAACATATGAACCATAGTACATGTTATTTGCTAGTACATTACTTTTAACCCGTTTTAGACTTATTTCAATCAGGAAATGGGTACACTTGAAAATAGCTGTGCGAATTCCAAAGAATCCTATTAACTACTATAAAAATTAGATATACTTATGTGATTCAGAAATTTTGGAAATAATTTGTTTTCTTGTCTACTACAGAATGGGCAACACTGAGCGCACTCTGCATCTCGTGTTCTGCCTCTGGTGTCTGTCGAACCACCTGGATCGAGCTTGTGTCTCTGCAAGATGGTTTCACAACAGACAAGAGAATGTCACAGCTATGGCGGCTGCTGGGGTTTCTACTCGGGGTCTCAGAACCCCCATAAAAGAGGACACAGACTCCGTGACCCATGCAGATAATTTAGCAGTATACTTGAATTCAACATCAACAAAGACAGAAACAAATCAAGCGTCTTTTCATAAAAAAGAGGGGCAAACAACACTGTCTAGGGGTAACTTCAAGCATGCAGGCATGAATTCAAAAGAAACGAACAACGAATCAAATAGTCCTTTACAAATCGGCCCAGGTACCGATCTTATAGACTTTGAAGACATCTTCTGTGAAAAACCAAAAATAGACCAATCAAGAATACAAGAACTAACGGACTTTCTTCAGGCCAGGTACAGGGACAAATTCCGCTGCCTACCTTGTCATTGCTACTACACATTCTCAAGAAGTCTTGTAGCGTCCTGTAACTCTTCAATTCAGGTGATCAACGAAGTTCTATCTAATGAAACACAGCAGCTAACTATCTTTAATTCTTCATTAGGAGTATTCCAAGCAACAGATTTTCTTCAGTATCACAACCTTTACAGTTTAACAATTACACATAACAAAGACTTGCGCGCAGTAGCCAACAGTTCCGAGAAAATTGATATGTTACCTGTTAAAAGTTTAAATTTAAGCTACAACTCAATTTTCCTCATTATGGATAGAAGTTTTATTAAGTTCCCGAATTTAGTAAGTCTCAATCTGCAAAACAACAACATTAAAGTAATAACCAAACTGACATTTGCTGGCTTAACCACATTAGAATTCCTAAATTTAGTGCACAATCGTGTGTCTGTTTTCAATAATGGCTCGTTCGACCAGCTGAAGAACCTGAAAGTCTTGGATCTCAGCAGAAATAACGTTAAAACATCGTTCATGCCAGGGGTGTTTTCAAATCTCGGTAACTTAATTAAATTATACATTAATGGAGACCTGATTAATGCCAGTAGTTATCCAAACGAAGAAATAGGGACACTAACCAGTTTAACTTTTCTGTCTGTCGACGGTATTTCAAAAGATGTCATTCTCGGCCCGGAAGTAAAAAATCTAACTAAGTTGGTGACACTCCATGTTGGATTCTCGGAAACAAAACAATGCCGCCTGGAACAAATCACAGAATCATTCTTGGAAAATGTCCCTTACTTACAAACGGTCCGATTCTCCAAATGTCCTCTGAAAAACGTAGACGTGAACGTTTACCGGAAGGTGAGAGGACTGAAATCATTGGAATTTATTTCTACATACCCGTACGACGTTTTTAAAGCTCTGGATGGACTTAGCGGACTGCAAAACTCTTCATTGAGGTCTTTGAGATTGATCAAACTTATCAAAGATGGGTGTCCTTTTATTTGCTTGTATGAGCGTCATGCTAGGTATCTGAGCGGTGTAGATCTAGAGATATTAGATTTGTCAGACAATAGAATAGGGTTTATGGACACAGCGTTTATCCGAGCTTTGCCACAAACACTCAAGGCTCTTGAATTACGTGGGAATGAACTCAGTGAGCCCTCTCTACTCACAGAAAAATTGTACTTCCTACAAAACCTGATGGTTATAGATCTAGGAACTTACCCAGATCGTGCATTAAGCAAGGAGATATCCAAATCCCGGGATAGTGAGCAAGTATCCAGACTGGAGCCTAAAAACGGGATTTCACTGTTTAAGGTTGGAAATGGGCCTGCACAGGAGCAGATGGTTACTGGAGTAGCAGAGACTGAGGACGAGAAACAAAACAGGTATATAACATACAAACCCATGGAGCATTGGAGTCTAAGATCGCTGGCAGCGGAGAATCAAGGGGAAACCCCTCAATGCAGAGAACAGAAAGACAATTCAAACGCTACCACTGTCTACAGTCATACAAGCAATGAAACTAACACTTCGCTTCGTCGTCTTCTGGCACCTAGGTTCTTGGAGATAGACATGGTTCAACTGTTTCAGAGCATTACACGCAATTATCCAAACCTCGCGTGCATAGACCTCTCAGACTGTGCTCTGTCGTCATTGTCTCAAAAGAGCCGAGTTCCATCATCAATCCAGACAGCAGTCTTCAATGGTAACTATTTCAGACACATGCATGAAAGTACATTTTGCCCAAACAATTCGCTCTCTTCTCTGTCTCTGAGCAACAATCTACTGGGTGAGATAATTGCCAACACGGACGGACTGATCTTTAAAAGACTGGAAACATTAAAACATCTTGATCTATCAATGAATATGATTTACAAACTACCTTTAAATTTCCTCCGAGGCTTGCACAGCTTGAAATATTTAATAATATATGACAACAAACTGGAACTCCTCAACACAGACTTCACTAACACCCCAGAGCTGGAGTATTTAGATCTCAGAAAAAACTCTATTACATGGATAAGCAAAAAAAGCCGCGAAGAGCTAGACACCATCGGGACCAACCACCCACTCTATATTGAGCTGACTTTGAATCCTCTACCTTGTACATGTGAGGGGCTGGAGCTGCTTCGCTGGATCTGGGCCTCAAATATTCACTTTGTCAGCGAGGATCTTCTTAGCTGTGTTGGAGATAATAACATTGCCGAATACATGGGAAACATTGATGATCGTGTCAGAACGTTGCAGCGAAAATGTGCCGGTAAATATATGATCATAGTTCTCTGTGTGGCTTCGCTGACTGTCATTTTTTTTTCTTGTTGTGTTTGGTGTAATGTATCGCTACAGATGGCAGTTGAGGTACATCCGGAACATTGCCTTATCGAGGCTTATTGGGTTCAAACCCCGAGACACTGAAAGTTCAGAGTTCAAATTTGACGCGTTCATTGTCTACAGCGACATGTCTCGCCGGTTTGTGTTTGGCGACTGTCTGCGAGAGCTGGAGGTGAAACGAGGACACAAACTGTGTGTGGATGATCGGGACTTCATGCCGGGGACATATGATGTGTCAGCCATCGTTAGCGCCATACAGAACAGCAGGAAGACAGTGCTGATTCTCTCTCCAGACTTCTACAACGAAAGCTTTTCTGAATACTGTGTCAAGATGGCGTTGATGGAGGAGATCTACCAAAAGAGATCAGTTCTCTATTTGTGTGTCTACAGGCCGTTACCAGACGACGAAATGTCTAAAAGTTACGATCTGTTGATGATCATGAACCGAAATAACTACCTGGAATTCCCACCGGAAACAGAAACTAGCGATGAAGTCAGACAGCATTTTTGGGATCAACTGTCTGAGAAAATTGGTCATTCTATTGCAAGTAATCTACCAGAGTCTGTAGAGTGAACAGATTAAGTACTTATACTTTAACCTCTGATACTATTGATGATGCTGGTTCTGGTGTTGTTGATGCTGCTACTGCTACTACTAACAATACTGCTGCTGCTGCTACTATTATTCCTTATACACTACTGCTGCTGATACAGATAGCCCTGTCTTAGATGGCTCGAAACTTTCCAAATGTCCAGACAAAGGTTTTTTTTTTGCTTCTAATGAAAACCGGAACATACAGAGATGCCGAGTTGAATTTAGAAATAATAATTGAAATCACAGCATTCGGGACACTCCCATAAGAGCTCCGTACCCACATTCAACATAAAGCGAAGAGTTCCACTTCCGATTATACTAGTAATCCATCTTACTTTTCGGATAAATCCACTGGATACTCAAGGCAGCGCTATTATCCTTAGGCAATAATGGGCCTAAAGGGACCCTTATAACAGCAACTTATCATACATTAGTTCATCACTAAGTGGTGCAGGACCGGCCAGTGTATCTGCCTGCTCATTTGCCAACACACCAGCATGACCTGGAGAAAATAGCCAAACTACGCTAACTACCCTGGACTCCGAGGCTATACTTGCCACTCTACATGGAGCATGCCTGCCCCCACCTTTCTCATCATACTCTCTGAGTCATTTACAATAACGACATGCGTGTACAGCTGATTCTCAAGCCAAAAAAAAAGGCAGCAGTGACTGCCTCCACCTCCATTCTCAAGCTAGACGGTGTGATATAATATTACAGGCTCTGCTGCACTAAGCAACGTCCACACGCTTTTGCTATGAACCCGAGGGTAACTAGCAAAGGCCAGCTGACGTGAAGAAACATCTTTCACAAAAGAGTGCTTGCGATTTCATGACTAATGTTGCATGACATGTTTTAGACGTGGTTCTTCCAGTGTAAACAGCAACAATGGCAGTACGTTTTTTTTTGGTCTGTTGAGGCGAATGGCGCAAAGTTGCTATTTTCGCTCACTTATAATGTGAAATTTTCATCGGAATGGCATCTGAACCGTGCAATGGAGTACATACCCATAAATTCAGACTTCCCTCAGAGTGTATTCGACGTCCGATGGCGACTGTTTACCCATTCGAAACAACCCGTAGACGGACAAGGAGAACGTGAAAAGGCATGCATGCTGGCGCCTGTAGGAAGCGATAGAGGTCTAGCCCTTTAGGCTCAACAAATTTGAAGGCGTGGAAAAGAGTTCTTAATTTCAAAAGAGTCACAAGTTTTACCATGCTGATTATTCTCAGCTGATTAAAAATGTCGGTCCACACATGAAACTAATGAGCAATTGAACATGTCAGTCTAATTTCCTATATTCTAGCAGCAAGCTTTACTTTCAGTTGCTACTGGGGCTGTACCGAATAGTGATTATCCCTATTCGGCCGAATACGAATAACGGGACCAACTATTCTGTCAAATGTACGCTGAACGTTTACTTCACACAAAGTAGCACAGAATAGTCATCTTCTTCTTTAGCATTCTGAGCCTTTGGGGTTTACTGCTGCAGATATCACTCGTCTCCATTCATCTCTCTGGCTGGCCTTCTCTTCACAATTTGTGACACCAGTTGTTTGCAGGTCTGGCTGGACATTATCTCTCGAACTTTTTTTTTTCTGCTTCTTGGTCTACGCCCATTCCTCACTCAGATGTATACAGTTTTACTTCTCTGTCATCTGACATTCTTTCAATATGCCCCAACCATTTTAGTCTGTTAGCTCTAATGATGCCAGTGATCAATGGTGATTCAAACAGATTATGTGTTACGTTTTTGCTTCTCACTCTCCATTTCCCGCTGTCAGCATCTTTGATGGGTCCCAAGATTTGTCGTAAGACCGTTTTCGAAAACCTGTAATAAGGCCTCATCTCTTTTATTTCTGCTCCAAGTTGCAGAGCGATATAAAACGACTGGTCTTATCAATGTTTTATATATTTTAGCATATATTGAAGAGCATAGTATACTTTATTTCTAGATTGTATACTAGATTGTATTTCTTCTCTCAGCATGTTGGAGCAGTTGAAGTTTGCACCCAAGTACTTAAATGTTTCCGTTCGTTTGATTTTCATATTATCGACTTGGATGTGGTCGGAGTTTATATTCTTTCCATGTCTAGTTAGTATTCGTGCAAAATAGTAAACGTTTAAAAACATTTTATGTTTTGCATCCTACAGTCAGTCTGTGGTAACTAATAACTAGGACTGAAAGAATCCTAAGTATTATAAACCGTAACTAAACTTGGAAATTGTCACTGACAGCTTAGTTAATGCATGAAAGCTGCATTAGCTTTCAACAAAACCAATCATTCCATGTTGTCAGCATTAATGCCGTGTATGCAGAAGCGGGTGTAAGGTAACTACTATTCGTATTCGGCCCGACCGCAACTATTCGGCCGAATACCGAATAGTCAATAGGTCCACTATTCGGCCCCGAAGCGAATACGAAGCGAATATTCGGTATAACCCTAGTTGCAACAGTATGTATATGTAAATGTATATACATAGAACCAGAGGGTCTGGCAGGCTCAATACACTAAGAGGAAAGGCAAGACGTACATTAAACCAGATTGTGACTGGTACTATCAGTACTGGAACTCTGCGCTGGCTGCTGCCGATGAGGACGGAGCATGCATGGAAATGTCCCGAGAGCTGTGATGTCAATTTTTGACTCTACTCAACTCAACTCCCATACGTGCCACTGACACGGCTACTGTAGCCAAAGAGAAGAGCTGATGATGATGATTAAAAGTACGCCTTTCCCCCTACTGATATCCCACAATGCTGCTCACTCCACGCTTGAATCCAGAAGAGCTAGAAGAAAGATGAGAAAAGATTTTGAGAAACCATTTTTTCCACGTGATGTCTTTATCAATTATTCTTTGTCTCAGTCAGTCAGTCACATGTCCTTCGCAGAACCTTGCTCCTATAACAACCCTTCGGAAAACTTCTAGATCACAAGAAAGATGTCCCGCGTCCGATACACCCATCTGGAGATCATCCGCCACATCCTGCTCCAATCTTCTCTTTGGACTTCCTCTTCCTCTCTTCCTAGGCAAATACCCCTCCTTAATTGTTCTCTCTTAACTTTCGTGACGTTTCAAGTGGCCAAAATATTTAAATTTTCTTTGTTTTATCGTCTCCAATACGCAACCTTCTTTAATATTCAGTTCTTGAAGTATGGATGCATTTGTTCCTTTCTTTACCCATGACATTCTCAGAATCCGTCTGTAACATTTTTATTCATAGGCATATACATGCTTTCAGTTTGTTTAGTAAGTGTCCCGGTCTCACAGGCGTATGTTTCAAACTTGTTTTTTTTTTTTTTTTTTTTTTTTTTTTTTTTTTTAATGGCTGTAATGGTTTCTTGGCAATTTTTGCAAAAGGTAGTTTGCCATTACTTTCTTTCTAGGCAGTGACTATACTAGTCGATGACCATAGCCAATCTCTTTTTGAGTCTAGCACTTGGATTTATCATATTTTTCTTATCAAGCGACCCTAGTCTTTGATAATATCTGCCTGTATGTCTTATCTTCACACAAGACAGACAAGTTTAAGTCGGTAAAACACAAATATTTCTTCAGGCCTATTTTTTAGATTCCTTTCAATTAAATCGTCTCTCCCTCTAGATTTATCAGATACTGTTGATCAGTTTCCACGTTTTGTTTAATTCCACGCGTGATTATATTTGCAGTGAACGGATACTTCTATTGTTGCGATGGATTTTAAGATAACCGCATTACCGTTCGAAGGTTTATATACTCCTGAAGGTGAACATATTTGCTTGGTGAGTTTACTGATGGCCTCAAAACCTTCTGTCCTCTCACACTGATCTGTCCAGTTCTTCTGTACTACAAAATTCTGCAGTTCAAACATTCTTCTTCTTCTTCTTTTGAGTTCGTCCTTACCCTAAAAGAGCGGCTGATACGGTACGATGGGTTGTGAACGAACGAACGAACGAACGAACGAACAAACTTTATTTTCATAGGGTTACAAATTGGGCACGCAGGCCCGTCTGACATTCGGCCCTTCTAAGTACTCATTTTTCAGAGTACTAATACCTGTTATCAATAATGCATGTAAATAATCCAGGAATACCGAAATATAAGATAACCAAATGGCTAAAATTATTAAAGTTGCCAAAAGCTGTTCAAAAACTGCAAGGTTACTAACGGTGTCTAAAATGTAGCTAAATCAGCAAACACCAAGCACATAAAAACAAATAATGCATTATTGACGACGTGTTGGCTTGCTTGTCGGCAATGGGCGACTCAGTGAGCAGGCGGAAAGTCGTGGCAGACATCGTATCAACACTTCCATTTCACGGCTACTACTGGGGTGAGCAGTTGTGAGTCATTCATAAAGGTTAGTTGCCTATCCTTTGCAGAACAAACCCCAACAGCCCCTGGCTGTTGGGTAGTTTTTCTAGGAAAATATACGTCCAGCAGTTTGACATTGCTTTCTAGACGGTCGGCTTTCTTGATACCACTGTCGAAACCAACGCAAGGCGCATGGCCAACAGCTGGGATCGAACCCGGCATTCCAGCATTACGAAGCGTTCGCATCGACTTAGTTACAGAGTCGACTAAGTTATACATAAGGAGGTGGAAAAACAGGAAGACGGGGTGAATAAGTTGAAAGTGGCTATTTTTGTCATTACCCTGCTTGTAAATAATGATGAATAAAGTAGACGAGCAAATAGTAGTCTAGCTAAAACTGCTGAAATAGCGTACATTGGTTAACTATACCAACGTAGATAAACAATACGAAAATCATATAGTGTAGACTGACTGACTGACTGACTTTCTACCCCACCATCACACAAGCGATAAACACCCGATGACACAATGTGCCACCATGTGGATGAGGATCACCGTGGAGAGGTCCCAGAAATCGCGTTCAGCCATTAGGCCCTATTTATGGCCAGGCTATATTGCGGCCCCTGGCAAGAGCTAGAGTAGGGCTTCAAATAACGAAACATTGCATCTTAAAAAGGACGAAAA